CACTCACCACACCCCACTCACCACACCCCACTCACCACACCCCACTCACCACACCCCACTCACCACACCCCACTCACCACACCCCACTCACCACACCCCCACTCACACACCCCACTCACCACACCCCACTCACCACACCCCACTCACCACACCCCACTCCCACACCCCACTCACCACACCCCACTCACCACACCCCACTCACCACACCCCACTCACCACACCCCACTCACCACACCCCACTCACCACACCCCACTCACCACACCCCACTCACCACACCCCACTCACCACACCCCACTCACCACACACCCCCACTCACCACACCCCACTCACCACACCCCACTCACCACACCCCACTCACCACACCCCACTCACCACACCCCACTCACCACACCCCACTCACCACACCCCACTCACCACACCCCACTCACCACACCCCACTCCCCACACCCCACTCACCACACCCCACTCACCACACCCCACTCACCACACCCCACTCACCACACCCCACTCACCACACCCCACTCACCACACCCCACTCACCACACCCCACTCACCACACCCCACTCACCACACCCCACTCACCACACCCCACTCACCACACCCCACTCACCACACCCCACTCACCACACCCCACTCACCACACCCCACTCACCACACCCCACTCACCACACCCCACTCACCACACCCCACTCACCACACCCCACTCACCACACCCCACTCACCACACCCCACTCACCACACCCCACTCACCACACCCCCACTCACCACACCCCACTCACCACACCCCACTCACCACACCCCACTCACCACACCCCACTCACCACACCCCACTCACCACACCCCACTCACCACACCCCACTCACCACACCCCACTCACCACACCCCACTCACCACTCACCACACCCCACTCACCACTCACCACACCCCACTCACCACACCCCACTCACCACACCCCACTCACCACACCCCACTCACCACACCCCACTCACCACACCCCACTCACCACACCCCACTCACCACACCCCCACTCACCACACCCCACTCACCACACCCCACTCACCACACCCCACTCACCACACCCCCACTCACCACACCCCACTCACCACACCCCACTCACCACACCACCCCACTCACCACACCCCCACTCACCACACCCCACTCACCACACCCCACTCACCACACCCCACTCACCACACCCCACTCACCACACCCCACTCACCACACCCCACTCACCACACCCCACTCACCACACCCCACTCACCACACCCCACTCACCACACCCCACTCACCACACCCCACTCACCACACCCCACTCACCACACCCCACTCACCACACCCCACTCACCACACCCCACTCACCCCACCCCACTCACCACACCCCACTCACCACACCCCACTCACCACACCCCACTCACCACACCCCACTCACCACACCCCACTCACCACACCCCACTCACCACACCCCACTCACCACACCCCACTCACCACACCCCACTCACCACACCCCACCACTCACCCACACCCCACTCACCACACCCACTCACCACACCCCACTCACCACACCCCACTCACCACACCCCCACTCACCACACCCCACTTCACCACACCCCCACTTCCACCACACCCCACTCACCACACCCCACTCACCACACCCCACTCACCACCACCCACTCACCACACCCACTCACCACACCCCCACTCACCACACCCCACTCACACACCCCACTCACCACACCCCACTCACCACACCCCACTCACCACACCCCACTCACCACACCCCACTCACCACACCCCACTCACCACACCCCACTCACCACACCCCACTCACCACCACCCCACTCACCACACACCCCACTCACCACACCCCACTCACCACACCCACTCCACCACACCCCACTCACCACACCCCCACTCACCACACCCCACTCACCACACCCCACTCACCACACCCCACTCACCACACCCCACTCACCACACCCCCACTCCACCACAACCCACTCACCACACCCACTCACCACACCCCACTCACCACACCCCCACTCACCACTCACCACACCCCACTCACCACACCCCACTCACCACACCCCACTCCAACCACACCCCACTCACCACACCACTCACCACACCCCACTCACCACACCCCACTCACCACACCCCCACTCACCACACCCCACTCACCACAACCCCACTCACCACACCCCCACTCACCAACACCCCCACTCACCACACCCCACTCACCACACCCACTCACCCACCACCCCCACTCACCACACCCCACTCACCACACCCCACTCACCACACCCCACTCACCACACCCCCACTCACCCACACCCCACTCACCACCCCACTCCCACTCACTCACACACCCCACTCACCACACCCCACTCACCACACCCCCACTCACCACACCCCACTCACACACCCCACTCACCACATCCCCACTCACCACACCCCCACTCACCACACCCCACTCACCACACCCCACTCACACACCCCACTCACCACACCCCACTCACCACACCCCACTCACCACACCCCACTCACCACCCCCCACTCACCACACCCCACGCACCACACCCCACTCCCCACTCACCACACCCCACTCACCACACCCCACTCCCCACACCCCACTCACACTCACCACACCCCACTCACCACACCCCACTCACCACACCCCCACTCACCACACCCCACTCACCACACCCCACTCACCACACCCCACTCACCACCACCCCACTCACCACACCCCCACTCACCACACCCCACTCACCACCCCCACCACACCCCACTCACCACACCCATCACCACACCCCACTCACCACACCCCACTCACCACACCCCACTCACCACACCCCACTCACCACACCCCACTCACCACACCCCACTCACCACACCCCACTCACCACACCCCACTCACCACACCCCACTCACCACACCCCACTCACCACACCCCACTCACCACACCCCACTCACCACACCCCACTCACCACACCCCACTCACCACACCCCACTCACCACACCCCACTCACCACACCCCACTCACCACACCCCACTCACCACACCCCACTCACCACACCCCACTCACCACACCCCACTCACCACACCCCACTCACCACACCCCACTCACCACACCCCACTCACCACCACCCCACTCACCACACCCCACTCACCACACCCCACTCACCACACCCCACTCACCACACCCCACTCACCACACCCCACTCACCACACCCACTCACCACACCCCACTCACCACCACCCCCACTCACCACACCCACTCACCACACCCCACTCACCACTCACCACTCACCACACCCCACTCACCACCCCACTCACCACTAACCCCACTCACCACACCCCACTCACCACTCACCACTCACCACACCCCACTCACCACTCACCACTCCCCACTCACCACACCCCACTCACCACACCACCACTCACCACTCACCACTCACCCCACTCACCACTCACCACCCCACTCACCACTCACCACACCCCACTCACCACTCACCACACCCCACTCACCACTCACCACACCCCACTCACCACTCACCACACCCCACTCACCACTCACCACACCCCACTCACCACTCACCACACCCCACTCACCACTCACCACACCCCACTCACCACTCACCACACCCCACTCACCACTCACCACACCCCACTCACCACTCACCACACCCCACTCACCACTCACCACACCCCACTCACCACTCACCACACCCCACTCACCACTCACCACACCCCACTCACCACTCACCACACCCCACTCACCACTCACCACACCCCACTCACCACTCACCACACCCCACTCACCACTCACCACACCCCACTCACCACTCACCACACCCCACTCACCACTCACCACACCCCACTCACCACTCACCACACCCCACTCACCACTCACCACACCCCACTCACCACTCACCACACCCCACTCACCACTCACCACACCCCACTCACCACTCACCACACCCCACTCACCACTCACCACACCCCACTCACCACTCACCACTCACCACTCACCACTCACCACTCACCACTCACCACTCACCACTCACCACTCACCACTCACCACTCACCACTCACCACTCACCACTCACCACTCACCACTCACCACTCACCACTCACCACTCACCACTCACCACTCACCACTCACCACTCACCACTCACCACTCACCACACCCCACTCACCACTCACCACTCACCACTCACCACTCACCACTCACCACTCACCACACCCCACTCACCACTCACCACTCACCACTCACCACTCACCACTCACCACTCACCACTCACCACTCACCACTCACCACACCCCACTCACCACTCACCACTCACCACTCACCACTCACCACTCACCACACCCCACTCACCACTCACCACTCACCACTCACCACTCACCACTCACCACTCACCACTCACCACTCACCACACCCCATACCCCACTCACCACTCACCACTCACCACTCACCACTCACCACTCACCACTCACCACACCCCACTCACCACTCACCACTCACCACTCACCACTCACCACTCACCACACCCCACTCACCACTCACCACTCACCACTCACCACTCACCACTCACCACTCACCACTCACCACTCACCACTCACCACTCACCACTCACCACTCACCACTCACCACTCACCACTCACCACTCACCACTCACCACACCCCACTCACCACTCACCACTCACCACTCACCACTCACCACTCACCACTCACCACACCCCACTCCCCACTCACCACTCCCCACTCCCCACTCACCACTCACCACTCACCACTCACCACTCACCACTCACCACTCACCACTCACCACTCACCACTCACCACTCACCACTCACCACTCACCACTCACCACTCCGCCATTCTACCCCACCCATTCCAATTCCTTTCTCTGCACACTGCAAGCAGCCCTGGTCACGTCCCTTCCCCACCCCCCTGTTCCCTCATCCCCCCAAGATGGCGCGTGCCCCCTGGCGCACCTCGAGCTGCTGCATGGAGGAGCGCTGCTGGGCGATGTTGGCGTCCACCTGCTGGCACAGCGCGTCGTACTTGCTCGCCTCCTTCTTGAACAGCTCCTCCTGCGACCCCGGCGCGTTCATCAGCTTGGGCAGGATGTTGTCGCGCGCCCTCATCTCCCGCAGCCCCTCCTCCACCCCCGCCCTCTGCGCCCCCACTCGCTCCAGCTCCGCCTGCCCGCCCCCACCACCCCGGGAGAAGGAGGCGCGCACGGAGGGGGGGAGAGCAGCAAGGGTGCAGCGAGTGTGTGACGTGCGCGTGAAGCGAATGTGGGGGAGGGAGAGCAATGAGGTGTGGAGAGAATGAGGGAAGCAGGCAGGTGGGTTGGATGGCAGGAAACGAATGCAGAGCGACACAGCAATGGTGGCAAACAAGGAGGTGAGGACGCAAGGTGGGGTGGGAGGGGGGCTTACAAGGAGTTGGCGGATGGTGGCGACGAGCGCATGGTCGTCCCCGTGCACTGCCAGCATGGGCCGTGATATGCGTGGCAGGGCGTCCTCCACCTGCCATGCATGCCACGCCACATGCCACGCCACATGCCATGCCATGATGTGCCATGCCACATGTCGTAACACGGAGAGATGCTGCTGAGTGGTGTGTGTGTAGAAGAATGGAATGAGAACAAAAAGCACACACCCCATGAGCCTCCCTCCCCACTGCTGTCCGCTCCCCCCACTACCATCACCGTATTGCTGTCTGCTCGTCCACTTCCATTCCACCCATGCCACCCATGCATCCAACTGCCCTACCCGCACCCAACTCCTTCCCACCACTGTGCCACAGTCCTTATTCACGCCGACACCTGCACGTGTGTACGTATGTGCACCTTGCTGTGGCCCAGCGCGCCCAGCAGGTCGGAGCAGTCGCGCAGGTCGCGCTCGATGCGCGCGTCGCTCTCCTTGGCCTGCTTCAGGTTGCCTGCGAACGCCGTGGCGCGCTCCTTGAGGCTCTTGGTCAGCGTGCTGCTCTGCGGCCGCGCCCACCGCGACCCGAACTGCGTGCGCAGTGCGGCGTCGTCCGCGGCCTCCAGCTGCAGCGTCTCCTCCGCGGCCAGCAGCAGCTCCTCGTTCACGCGCCGCAGGTCGTGCAGCTGCGCCAGCTCCCCCGGCAGCCCCGCGGGCCCCCCGCTCACGTGCACGGCCTCCACGTCGTCGCGCAGCTTGGCGGGCACGAAAGCGGAGAGGTCGCCGTCCAGCGCCACGAGCACGTCCGCCACCGCCAGCTCGCGCAGCCGCGCCTTCGCCTCCTCGCTCTCGCGCTCCATGCGCTCCACCTACCGCCACGCACACGCGCACACGGGCGGCGGGATGGGTGATGTGCGGCGGAAAAGAAAGATGTGAGCGCAGGAATAACACGCGAGGATGAATAGGCAGACCAAGGGCAGCGACTGGCAGAGCGCAAAAGGAAGGGGGCAGGCGGGAGAGCGGGGGGAGCGGGGGAGCGGAGGGACCTGGTTACGGATGATGCCGTCCACCATGTCGGTGTAGCGCGACAGCTCCTTGGCGCTGCCGTCCGGCACCAGCCCCGCCAGCAGCCGCTCGCCCGTCGCGTCCAGCTGCGGCGCCAGCGGCGTGGCGGCCACGAGCGCGGCGGCGGCGATGGGCGGAAGCGAGGCGTAGGCGGGGACGCGGTAGAGGTAAACGCGGTCGTTCTCCGCCTCGGCCTTGGCGAGGTTGGCCAGCACGTGGCCCTCGAGCTTGAACACGGCGTCCACCAGCGGCTGCATCACGCCCTTGCTGCCCTTGCGCGCCTCCGCCAGCAGCGCCTTGGCGTGCGTCAGCCGCGCGATCTCCTCCGCCACCTCCTCGCGCGCGTGCAGGTCCAGCGCCGCGCGGTACAGCGCCTCCGCGTGGAAGTGGCGCGCCTTGAACAGCACGTTCGCCACCCACTGCCGGTCGAAGTGCGCCGACAGCGGCGGCAGCAGCAGCGCCGCGTGCGCCTCCTCGTAGAACATCGCCACCTGCGCCACCATGCATGGGTGGGGGGGGGGGGAGAGGGAAGGGGAGGGAGAGGGAGCGCGGTTGCGGGTGGGAGGGGTGGGGAAGAAAGATGCGGAAAAAACGAATCAGGGAGGGGAGGGGGAGAGAGGGAAGGGCTAGGAATGGGCGGGGAACGAGGAGGTCAAGGAGCAGCGCTTGGAAGGCGAAGCTGCGGCGCGCGCACCTGCTGCGCGATGCGCGCGCAGATCTGGTTGGGCTTGCCCTCGCCCAGCGCCTTCTCGTAGAAGCACTCCTGCGCCTGCCCCAGCATCAGCCGCTCCAGCATCCCCGCCGTCTCGCCCGCGATGTCCGTCGTGCACGTTCCGCCGCCCGCCAGCGCCTTTCCGCTGATGTGGTCGCGCAGGTACGCGAACGCGCCCGCCGCCGCCTGGAACGCGTTGCACGCCGCTTTGAGCCCCGCCGCCGTGGAGCGGTCCGCCGCCAGCGCGATCTGCGAGAGCGTGGCGGCGATGTTGAAGGCGATGGCGGCGCGCTCGAAGTGGATGTTCGTCTGGGACGCCTGGCGCGCGCAGGGGCGGCCGCAGAGAGGGGCGGCGGGAGAGGAGGGGCAGGGAGGTGGGAAGCGAAGAGCGCGGATGGTTGGTGGTGGCAGGGCATGCGCGCATGAGGCAGCACGGGAGTCACGGCCGCCTGCTCGCTGCCCTATGCCTAAATATTCCCCGTCCAACGCTCCCCCCCTCCCCCCATGCCTTGACCGTCTTACCCCGACGTCTAGCCCCGCGACATCCTGCACCGCCCGCCCGTGCAAACCACGCGACGCCCCCTCGCGACCTCCCCTCAGCGACCGCGACCGCACGGGAAGCGGCGAGCGCGGGGCGCGTGCGTGCGCGCACCTTTTTGGAGCTGGCGAAGGCGTCGAACCACGTGAAGTTGATCTGGTTGAGGTGCTGCGTGTCGGGCGCGATGGGGAAGCGCGACGACATCACCGTCAGCGCGCGCATGTACTTGAGCAGCACCTCGCGCCGCGCCTCCAGCGACTCGCTGCTGCCTTTCTCAATCTCGCGCCGCCACGCTTGCACCAGCTGGATGGGGGTAAGCAGAGAGGGAAGAGGAGGAAGGGGGGCCGGGTGGGGAAGGGGGGGGGGGGGGGGGAGGGGGGGGTTGGGGAGGGGAGGGGAAGGTAGGGGGGAAGAGGGAATTGGAGCAGACGGGAGGGCGGGTGTGCGACGGGCGGTCGTATGAGGAGAGCGCGGGTATGGGGCGGGCGCAAAAGATCAGGATCGGAAGGAAGGAAAGAGGGGAGGAGGAAACGCGAGGTGGGGGCACGAAATGCAGCGCGCGGGGGAGGGCGTGGGAGCGGGGGAGGTGAGGCGCGCGGACCTGGAGGTCGTCGTCGGCGTCGGTGGCGTGGCGGTCGGAGTACTGCGAGCGGATGTACGCCTTAAGGGGGCGATGCAGGTCCAGCGGCACGGCGCGCTTGCAGTGCACGGCGAGCATCACGTTCATCGTCACCGACGCGCCCGACATGCTGCCCACCCGTCGCGCCAACCACACTCGCCGTCCCGACCTTCTGGGCCTCTCGCACGTTCAGCGCAGTGCGTGCGCCCAGACGACACTGTATTCCGCCTCCCTACGCGCCGCAAAAGGTTCGACGCTGCGGGAGGAGACGAATCAGGGATGTGCGACGGGAAAACGATGCCGGTCTAGACGCACACGAGACCACAGATAAAAAAAGGTAGTCGAGGAGAGGATAACGGTAGAAGCGCGTCGGATGCCCCAATAGAAAACGGTGACGATGACGTGTAATCGACGAGAAAGTAGGTACGAAGGCAAAAAGAGGACGAAGAGAGGATGCACACGTTGCAAGTAATCACATACAGGCAGCTTACCTGCGTTGATCAAAATTTAACAAATGTAGGAATAGCTACACGCCGCGAGCGAAAGTCAGCGCGCACAGAAACGAGTAGAAGATTAACACGGAAGCTAGGCGAGATCCGAGAGCAACTGGTGAAGACCACTCCCAGCCCAAATCCTGGATTCTGGTTAGGGCCAGGGAAGCTTGCGCGTTGGCAATAACAGGGATGGAGGCAGGCAGGAAGGAAGAAGTGGAGCTTCTTGCAGCGTTCCCGTGCGCCCTACGACGCACGCGACGGGTGTGTGGGATGGGATGGGATGGGATGCGAGTGACAGGAGACACCTGGATGGAGATACCCGATAGAAGAAGGTGCGTTATCGTGTGAAGGAGACGACAGCACCGAAATAAATATGCGGTATAATTGCGGTTGTAACAGGAAGTAAACAAGCATGAATACAGAGTACTAGTTACATGATTAGCAGATATGCTGTTACCTTCAAGTTTGCGGGCTAGTACAAGATAAGCACGGAGGAATCAACTTGATAGGTCTACTGGCTAAAAGATTATACCATCATACCACTCTGTTGGAATACCCGTAGGTAGCACATCCTGTCCTGATATTTCTTAACTTTAGCCATCACCTAGAGCACCTTACCCAGGTTTCTCTATATGGCCCTAGAAATTAAAAAAAAAAAAGGAATAAAAAAAAAACTTAAATATAGTATGACGTTTTCTTGACACATGTTTTGTTTCTCGTGCTCAGCTCTTAAATCCAAAATCCCAAAGAACGGATTCAATAAGTAAACATAGTGGTATCACAAGACATAGGAAGGTGGCATAAAAGGTGCTCATAGCAAACCCTTATTTTAAAAAGAAAAAAGAAAAGAGTACGGTCAAAAGGAACAACTTCTCTCATCAATTAGGTCATCCCAGAAACTCGTCTGCCAGGCTGAGGCGGCCTAGCGGCTTGAGTCTTGCCGAACTGTCATGGTATTCGTGCCATTGCTACGAGTACGATGCCATGTCAAACTCGAGAACTCGCTGTCACGTCAGGGTTTCTGCTCCAGAGTGTCAGTTCGAGAACAGAATTAGGGCTCAAGAGGGAAAACGAGGCCCAACGGGTCAGAAGGTATGTGTGAGGATTGCACTGCCACAGGGTAGTATCGGCGAGGAAAAGGTCGGTCCTGAAGTATAGCCGCATGTATCAGCCTTTATAAATTCGGTTGTTACGCGTCCGTGATGATGCTGTCGGCCATAAAACCTGCGCCGGTGGACGGAACAGCGACCGCGACCCCCTGATTTCTAAAGCGGTGCTTTCGTTGCCGGCCGCACGATTCTGCCGTTTCCATGCTTCTCTTCCTCCCAAAGGCTCTCACGAGGTCCTTCTCTGCATCCGTCAACGGTACGACGTTGCGACTGACCATGCAAATGCTGCTATGGTTGTCGTACAGTATCTTCTGGTTGCAGTTTCTGTCGCACACATGAGTAGTGTTGCTCGTCAAACACCTGAGCGCAAGGGGAGGAACGACGAAGGCGGGAAAACCAGAAGGTTGATGCGAGAAGACAAGGAGAATATGACTCTGCAAGAGCCCATAGAAGCTGAATACCATACCTGAAAAGGTTGGCGAAGACATGCTGAATGCTGCACGTGTGCTTGCATTTGTGACGGAGTTGCGGCGACGAGTCGGAGGGGGGCGATAGGTAGATGACGTTAGAGTACTCGCACGGTACAATGCTCGAGTACTCAGACACTCGTGACCATTCCATCTTATATATCGCAAAAGCACTCACTGTACTATGAGGTACTAGCTTAGTTAAGAATGGCCCAGAAAACAACAGCTGTCACCCTCGACTACGAGGAAAACAACGTGAGGGAACTAACCACCAATTCAGAGGGCCTCTGCTTGAAGAATGGATGATCAAGGAACTGGTCAAAGCCGAGGCTCTCTATGCAAGCTGTGGTGGTGTACCCTGAATGAAAGCAGATTGGAGCTGCAAAAGAGTCGAGTGGCCCAGGCTATGTACGTGAGCAGCTGAACAAGACCAGGCGGGCACCTCCAGGCCTCTATCCATACCTTGATTGTATGGGGGCGCTACGACGCTTTGGTTGCGGAGACTGGTTCGGAACGAGCAAGAGGGTAAGCTTCTCTGGTCGGCCGCCAAAGCAGATTGGGACGCTGGGCAAGTGCAAGGTTCGGTAGTAGCAGGTACGGGAAATTTCTCAGCCTGGTCTGGCGAACCAGGGCTGACCTGCGCGGATTTCGCCTGGAGCAGCGTGAGCAACCCGCCAATTTAAGATTTTGAATCTCGGAAACCCCTGAAGCGCACCGATCATTCCTGAGGGACGTAATGACGTGGACAAAAAACTTCGAAAACGGAATGCATCTTCCTGCAGCGCGCCAAGCCGAACAACAAAGACGGGATAGCTACGCTGGGCTACTTTATTTGTTGTCCCTGGATAACTGGGCGCTGTTGGCTGTCACTCAGCAGCCAGGCAAGCTTCACAACCTTGATGTGATCAGACTCTACGCCGCCAAATTTCCCCACATTTTGGCTGACATGGAAGACGAGGAATTTCATCCCACACGATTGGTGCTTGATTCTGCCAAAAAGGCGCACCCACCCTCTACATCAGTCACTAAATAACAACTAGCAAATTTAATGCCTCATTTCATTCTCTACACCTGGCCACCTTTAATTCTAAGTCTGTATCGCTCATCAGTTCCGCTAATCAGAACCGCACCCTGCACAATTTCTGCCTCCTTCAACTAAATATCTAGAAGATAGGGGCTATGAATGAGATACGATAATACTTGATGTCTAAAAACGTACCACACGAGTCTGAGACACTAACAGCATGCAGAGTCTTTTTTTTTTACGGATCCAAATGTGCCTCTTTCATTTGTTTGAGAAGTGCGAAACATACATTTAGAGGGAAAAAAGGAAAAAAAAAAATCCCTGTATTATGGGTGCATATTTTTCAGGAAAACGTCACCCTGATTGCTCAGTGTTGGGAAGTTACATTGTCTGATTGTTCATGGTCGAGAAGTCAGGATCAGTGTAGTAACACGAAGTGCATTATCAAAAACGAACGTCGATGATGGGTGTGTTGAAAAATAATTATATATGTTTTTTCATAATTGTTTGCAGTGTAGAGTGTAGCACATCCCATTTGCTGTAAATGGTGCACCATGCTTCTCCTTGCTATATCTTGTACTCATCTTTCTTAATCAAGCCCCTTCTCTTTGGCCAAATCATCTCTCTCGCTACCTTCAACACCCTAAACCTTAGCCATGGCTTCTTAGCCTAAGCTAGGTTTCTAACATGTTATCAGAGCTCGTTCTATCCTGGCCTGTGGGCCCATCCTACACTTCCGCTGCTGTCCTGTCTGTCGCGCGCCCCGTGGCGTGCGGCGTTTTTTTCCTTTCTTTTCTTCCCGCCACGCGCTCGGGGCGCATGGCGGTTTCCTGCCCACCGCGCGCCCCGGGAGCACGCGGCGGTTTCGTCGCCCGTCGTGGCGCCCCTGGGGCCCGCGCGCTGTCCCCTCCCGCCGCCCGTCGTGGCGCCCTGGGGGCCCGCGCGTCCCCCCCCCCCCCCCCCTCCCGTCGCCCGTCGTGGCGCCCCGGGGGGCCCGCGCGTCGCCCCATCCCATCGCCCGTCGTGGCGCCCCGGGGGCCCGCGCGTCGCCCCCCTCCCGTCGCCCGTCGTGGCGCCCCGAGGGCCCGCGCGTCGCCCCCTACCGTCGCCCGTCGAGGTGCCCCAGGGACCTGCGCGCCACCCCTTGACCCCGTGCGTCGCAAGGCTGCCTACCCCCCCGCCCCTCCCCTTCTCATTGCTCTCCCTCCTACACGTGCAGCTATGGGGGTGGCGGGTATGGGGGTGGCGGGTGTGTGGAACAAAGATTTGAATAAACTTCTTCCTGATAAAGCAGAGGGCTATGTTTATGTTATATCCTACTTGCTGCAGTTTAGTGTAGTTATTATTATAAACTGTTGGTGGTGCATCTTTTGCTTCTTCCCTATCTGTACTTCAAACCCTCTAGTGAAAGCCCCTCTTTTGGCCAATTCCCTCCCGCTCGTGCCTCTCCTAACTCCTCCTATGGCTAAACCTAATCTCCTAGGTTTGTAGCTATGTTTGACAACGACGCACATTAAAGTACTTCCGGGAAGCTCTCATACGACCTCGATGGTGAATGTGTCGGAACGAAATTTCGATAAACATTCGTCTCGATAATGTCTTATTCAGGGTTCGCCCACGCACTGGCTGTACTGCGAACAATCCGAAGGCGGGGTTATTGAAAGGAACGTTTCTAGAAACTGTCAAAGCTACGTTTATGTTATATCCTACTTGTTGTAGTTTAGTGTAGTTATTATTTTAAACTGCTGGTGGTGCACCTTTTGCTTCTTCCCTATTTGTACTTCCAACTCAATAGTGAAACCCCTCTTTTGGCCAATTCCCTCTCGCTCGTGCCTCTCGTAACTCCTCCAATGGCTAAACCTAATCTCCTAGGTTAGTAGCTCTATTTGACATGGTGTCAGAGCTGGTTCCATCCTGGAACCTTCCTGTATTTTAGAGAGACATTGGCGATGTTCACCAGCACATTCGAAAATAGATGGCATTTTGACGGCATCGGCATGGTGACCGCATCTGGAAACGGGGGCGGAACCCGCCC